TATGCGACTTTGGTTTTTTATTGGATCGAGGGACGCGTATTTTATCTCAGCTAAATGAAGTTATTCGAGAGTTTAGGGGATCGAGAACGCGGTTGAAAATGTTGTGCAAATTTTTCTCTGAAAAACTATTTCCTACTGAAAAATGTAGTCTTATAAAAACTGTAGAAATGTTTGCAGTTCGCCCGTAAATATGGAAGATAACGTTGCACTTATTTTTCGACAAAAATGTAGAATGCAACGTCCTTGATCGGCCGATAAACGTGCGATTAATTCTTGCCGTTAACAATATGTATAGTAATAGTTACTCCGAAGTGGCAGACGTACTCCTCGACGATGAAAAGTCGGAGTTCGTTTCCCCTTGTTGCTTTTACTTTTATCCGATGTGCTTATTCCGATGTAACACGGTCACATGAGCGCGATCGCGAGCAAACTCGTAAGTCGTCGCATTAAATATTTGTAACGAACGCGATAACATAAGATATACAGTTTACTTGGACGTATATGGTTTTCAGCAGTCGGTGTCGGAGGCAGTTTTACTTGGGGGCATTCGATCAGTCCAAGACGATTTCAATACCGATCGGTAATCTGATTGCATTCAGAATATGTTCGTGGCACGGCGGCTTAGTTTATGTGCCATCGAATTTTCTTTCTAATGCAAATGGGGGCCGAGTGTTTCTACCTGAAACTCTCGCGCGGCCAGATCTCGATAACTGTCCCGTGTCATACGACTTTGCTTAAACCGCTTTTTCCGGCATTAGGAGCAGAGCCGTGATTTTCTAAAATTAGAACGAAATGCTAGAAATCGAGTAGCGCAACCTCGAGACAGTCAGGGTCGAGCTATAGGGTGCAGGTCGACTTTGTTTTGATCTGCGATAAATGCCGATAAACCTCATTATGCAGTCGTATTTTGCTCTAAGTTCTTCGGATAATTATTACTAAATTGCGGATCTTTGTGCATTCGTGATGTATGTTTGCTCGTAGAATGCAAGTAAATGTGTATTTATTTATTTAACATAAACGGGCCGGGCGCTCTTTTAATTTGCTACGGAGATCGACGTAGTAATAGTAATAATAATACAAATAATAATAATAATAGTAGTTGCGACAATTATAATAGAATAACAACAATTCATTGCATTATTATTCTACGTGCATTGAAAACAAATAATTGTATTATTATTATACGTTTTCTTGAATGAATTATCTAGCATAGGAAAATTTTGTTGTTGCATTTTCTTGTTTAAGAAATTTTGAGCTTCGTCAGATTATCGAGATAACGAGAATTTGTGTAAAGATCTCTAGTATAATTCTTGCAATTTTATGGACGATTGTTACCGCTTCTTCACATTGCTTTATTGGTTGTACAATTTATACAATATTGGATAATTGGATTATTACAATATTGGATAATGGATAGTGCAGCGTAAATAAAATTAACTGTAAAATAGGAATATTGCAATATTTTCCCAAATGAACCTTCATTTTAATTTTCAGAAAACTAGTTTGTATATTAGAATTTCATGATAAGTACAATTCTGAATTGAAGCATGGGTAAAATTATTTACATTTGTAATGTTTATTACACTTTTATGTCCAATAGTGGACTGTGATTTGGCAAATTTAATGAAAAGCACAGTCTTTGCTCGAGAACTTTGCTACGCTTGACTATCTTCTCATTTGTTATTGTAATGTTTTGCAGTTTCTAGTTCTGATTAGATGAAGAGCAATGCACGAGTTAGATGTTTGCACTGTGATTGTACGAAATCCTATTATGTACTTACGAATCTTTGTTCGGTTCGAAATGATCGAATAACAGCCCGTCTTTCAATGGATTTATCTCTGTTCGACTAAGAAGGGAGATGATTCATAACATTCGTGTTTAAAGAAATGCTTTATCCTTGTGACTAAATGTGCATGTTTGAGAGAACAATGCAGTCATTTATTTGCAAGTCGCTCGGTATAGTTAATAGCTATACATCGTCCATATTTGTTTGTCACATGTAAAACTCCATTTATTATTCTCTATCTACATTTTTAAAATTTTCTATATATTTTTAAAATTGACAAAACTCTTCCTGAAGTTATGATAAAGTTAACTAACTTGGCAGTAGTATTTTAATGTCGTAACACTGAAGGCTGAAGTGAACGTTGATTTAACAGCATGTATAATTCATCTTTATTTATTATAGATATATTCATTTTTTATTAAGATATGACTCGCACGATTGCTAATATCATGATAAGCATTCTTCAACTCGTAGCAGAACTGGAAATTACGTAAAATATTTAATTCCTGATAACAAAAATTATTGCAGAGGACATTAACTGATCATTTATATTCATTCAACGTCATGGTAAACTTATCGTAAGAATTAATACATCTAATTTGAAAACATGCCAAATTATGTGCTACGTTTTATGCCAATTTGCCAATTTCTGGCATAAACGTCTGCAATTTAGAATTTCATGTTGTGAATTTCGAAAACGATAAAACGATCAAATAAAACAGTTATAATTAGACGGCGGATTTTATGTATTTACGACAAAATTGAATAAGTCTTTAAAATTATGAAAAGATTAAATAAATTTTGGAATTTTGACGCATTATTTTGAACTCAAATTATTAAAGAAATAAATCAATTTCGATTCGTGGACATTTTTTATTTTTATTCTGATTTTTATAAACTATGTACGATATCTAATAAATTCTAATGTATAAATTCCTTTATTTTATTTTATTTTATTTTATTAATTTCTGTAAATATTTAACTGTGCAATATTAACTGTCATAAATGCTGCCAATTCAGAAATTTCATTGAATGCAGTTTTTTTCTTCTGCAACAGTATTAACAGTTCAAACCAATTGTATATCAACATTTACTCATATTTTTACTCCAGTGTATTTTAATAAACGAATTTTTGACGACACAGATGTTAGCGAAGATATTTTCTCATTTATTCTAAAAGTTAGTGTGACCAAGGTATTAATAAAGATGATTTCACGAGAACTTATTCCAGAACTGTTTTAACATTTTCTATTCACTGGAGTTTGAACGTATAATAACTCCACAGCGGAAGTAGTGCTAACCTTTGCCACCTTCCACTCCATTAAGGATTCTTTTGTGAAAATCGTTTTTCTACTTTTTGTCTTTAATCGCGCGTTGAATGAATCGAATCACGTCATCAATTACGACGTTCTTTAATCGTTAAACAAATTTCTTAATATACATAAATTATTGGATAAAATTTGAAACAATACATAGATTAAATTAATTTCTCACCTAAAATTAATATCTGTTTGCTTTTTATTACTGGTCACTAAAGCTGTGTATCTCTATAAAAATGTGAAGATTGAATTTCTTTAGATTTTGCCTGACTTGTATCACAATAAGTGCTCGAATAAAGAAATTTATTTAATAATTTCCAGTAAAATCATCTGAATAATTTCCCTAATATTTGTAAAACAGAAAAGTTGAAAGTAGACGCTATTTTAACATTGGTACATCCAGTGTTTAATATCATATCCTACGATACTTTCCCTCGTATTTATTCGTTTTTTTATTTAGACTTCGCCTTTCTTCCTCGTGCGATCATTATCCATTTCATTTCATTTGTAAAGTAGCAACTATACCGGCGAGCTTTATGCATTTATTGCACGTGGAGACTTTCTAAATGCAAGAAAACGTATAAGTTAACAAGGTCAAATAGCACTTTTATTTTACGATGATTGATCTTTTACGAAGAAAAACCGTAGACGAGGGAAATTTCTCGCGTGACAATGCGAATTTATCCTACATAATTTAGTTGGATCTATATAAGTAACGAGCAATTATTTTCGTCTTTTATCGAAGCCTTCGAATAATAAATAACTTTCCACCGAAATGATCGTTTAAACGAACATTCGTCCGAATAATGAGTCCACGTTATAAAATTAATGCGAACGATTCCGGGTTTGCATCAAACAACGGTCCGAGTTTGAAATTACAGCGCGCCTCGGGGAACCGTCCTCGTCGGGTTATCAATATTCATGGCATTTATGGGCCCGCGAAAGTACCAAGGAAAACTGTTACGATAAAGTCGGCAGGGTGACACACCTCCGTTACTCCTACAACCACTTCATTCATTACTTGCCCCTCTCTGCTCGCTAGTTGACTATTCTTACCTGAACTTGTACGTGGAACAACATATGCGACTTGTCTACCGATGCGTGTCAGGACACGCATGTCGGTTTTACCATTGCCTTTTTTGTACGGCGAAGACGTCGATGGCGGAACGTATCGGCTTCACCTTTCCCGTTTAACAGGAAATCATTTCTGTCCTAGTCATCGTAATATTTTCGAAGTAACGACACGTGTAAACGTGATCGGATTGCCACGTATATCCTGATTAGTCACGCCTTCTTAACATGTTTTCCGACTCAGACTTCCGAACTAAGTTATTACGAAATATACTCTTGCTATCTTGTCCTCCAACCGCACACGGCAACCGAAGATCCTGAAAACGCGGCACAAAATTTGTTT